CCAGCAGCCAAAGAAGGGAAGTGTGTGAGCTCATCTTGACACTTTGAGATTGAAAAGGTTTGTCAATTATTCTGTAGGAAAAACATGTATAAGTACTCAGCAGCTCAGCAAGGTAGTGTCCCCCCATGTGGGAATATCCAAAATACATATAAATGTCCTGCACTTTAGTTCCAGGGCAGAGATTCGGGATGTTAATATTTAGCCTGTTAGTTTCATGCTGCTATTGTCTGTTAGAATTAAAGTTATGCACTTGTAGGATGTAGATGCTAATATAGACATCTCACTGGATTTTATATGTGTATTTACTGATCTGACATGTCTCCACTCAATACTCACTCATGCTGTGCCCTCAGTATCTGGACATGCGCTTTCGTTTCAGCCTACTCCATTTGACCACTGTCCAGGTTATTTGGGTGATGACCTTGGTGGACACCATTGCCTTCTTCAGCAAAGCAGTGGTGCCAAGTGACTGGCTTCCCCATCTGAGTATTCCCCACAACATCACCACCATGGCACCTAATTTGTCACAGACCGTGACGTGATCCATAGAGGAGATAAGGGGCCCTCCACTCTCTTTGACTCCAGTGGGAATTGAAGTCACACACAGAATCCTCTCAGCACCTAGCAGGATTGGCCCTTCTCAGCCATAGAACATCGGGAGTGCAACTGGTATCTAGTGTCCTGTGTCATGGTGGGTGGGTTGGGGGGTGCCCGGCTCACAGGGGCTGGGCTCAGGGATGTAGGGAGATGAGGTCAGGGGGATGTCCGGCTCAGAGGGGCTGGGCTTGGAGCTGGGGGTCAGGGCTGTGGGGGATGGGGTCGGGGGGGGTACCACATAGTGATAAATAAATGTGATGTGAGTGGCTGAGGTTTTGGATCTGTGACTATCTCTGAGCTGGTAACACCCAGACAAACAGCACCCTGATCCCACTGGCACAGTCAGAACTTGAGCTGGGTCTGGGGGTTTGTTCCAGGCCACTGGACGGTTTCTGTGCTCCCGTTAGAGCAGAGGTACTGGGATTGCACAGATAAATGTTTGGTTTAATTATTGCTGAGGAGCAAAGGGGAGACAAGGAGAAGATCATTGCAGCAAGGGGCCCTGGACACTGATAAATCAGGGTGCAGCAGCTACACCAACAGTGTGATGATCTTCACAGGAAGTAGCACTCACATCTTCGGAACTGGGAGGTTGTTATATTGGTCTGTATCACGGTGAGTGGTGAGCTCTCAGCCTGCAGACAATAGTAATCTGCTGCATCATCGGCTTCAACGCTGCTGACTGTGAGAGTGTAATTGGTGCCAGACCCACTGCCACTGAACTGGGCTGGGACCTCAGAGGCAGGGGAGGAGCCCTAACAGATAAGAAGCTCAGGAGCTTGTTCTGGTTTCTTTTGGTACCAAGAGATAGTCGCTGCCAAGGCTAGAACTGGCTGTACATCTGATGGTGACATTTTGTCCCGGAGACACTGAGAGGGATTCTGGAGACTGAGTCATAGTGACGGGCCCAGAGGAGTCTGGATTAATTATAAAATATAAATAAATACAGATAAAAGGTCACTGATAGTCAGCATTATTGTGTGTTAATAAATGATTGACAGTTGCATCTTTAGATAATGGCATTAAGTGGATCATATAATACAACATGTTCACAATCATTATATTCTAGCCATGACGTGATGAATGGGTTATTTAATAGCCAATCTAGCTACAATGATTCACATTTTTTAAAATATCAGTGGATCTTTGTGCTTTTAAGCCAGTGCCGTCCGGTTCTGATTCCTACCTGGAATCCACAGCACCAGTAGCCAGAGGAGCTGAGCCTGGGAGAACATCTTAGTACGTTTGAGCTGGCAGCTGCTGCTCAATAAACCATGGAGAGTGGAACAAAAATTTTTATAGCCCCCAGAGCACCAGGGCAGCGACACTGGGGAGTTCACATGCAAAGCAGCCCCTGTGTGAGGGATCCTGGCCTCCTGCTCTGACTAGACATAGAGCTGGTGAGGATATAAGAAAATCAGGGGGCAGGATTTTTTTGTGGAAACTGGAACTTTTAACAGATACTGCAGCTTTTAATTGGTGCCACACATTTTACTTTGTGTTGTGATCCCGTGTGCCAGGTCTGAACACCACTCACTAAAAGGGAGTGGCCAGGCCAGATCTATCTGACTGAGTGGCATTGGGACCTGGCACCCGGGGTCACAACACCATGCAAATTTGGCCCAGCTCCCATAGGTGGAGGGTGTCTAGGGGGGCTCAGCTCCTCCAAATGTGAGACACCCTGCTGCCTGCAAGTACAGCCCAGCTCGGCAGGCAAAGCTCCATGTCTGGCAGTGCCAGGGCCGGCTAGGTGCTGAGTGGCCTGGCTGCCCAGCAGCAGGACAAGCAGGGAGAATGTCTGGAGCCCGGCAGCGGTGGCGTGGCACGTCCGTGGTGCCCAGCATGGTGCCACAGGTAAAGCCAGCCCTGTGAGCCAGCCCTGTCCATGGGTTGGTGGTGGAGGATCCATCCCTGGTGCCCGCACGCAGAGCTGGGCCTGGAGCCAGAGAGGGAGCGACTGCGATAAAGGGAGAAGAGGAGAGGATGAAGTGGCTGTGGAGGAGGGAGCCAGACTCAGCTGTGGTCCCCAGCAATGCCACACAACTCGCAGCGTTGGACTAGATTGGTAACTGGTATATTTCTGATATGGGAAACGTAAGAAAGAGTGACTCCACAACAGACCCCAGGATGTGGCCTGACCATTCGAAAGAAATATGTCCCTCGGCCGGCTTTCTCAACCCGCTGAGTTTGTGCTGATTGAAACAGGCCTGCCAGTTTGCAAGGTCTGTGCTAATTGTAGAAAAATATTCAGAGACAAAGTTTGTCCTAAAAGTGATAAGATAACAACATGTTCCAAATGTGTTTTTTTTTCCTAAACTCAGGAACAAGATTTGTTGTTCCTCCACTTTTACATTCCTATCTTGCTTGTTTTCTTTTCATGTGTGACAAGTGGCATGGAGAGATTCATTGGAGTCTGTCATGCCCCAATGGTTTGAGAATAGTTATGTTAAGTGAAATAGGGTGTGATTGTAAATGTATGTTTGAATGAGTAATAAAAGGTTGACGTGCCAGCCTAATAAATAATAACTATCCAGGAACATTCGGCCGCAGGATGGAGATAATCGGATAACACCGTAGGGTAAACTGGAATCCACCCCCAACTGCCCCAAGGACGAAGGGGCTGAAGAACAAGATAACAACAAGCCATCACTGTTGGGCCATCTGCATGATGAACTATCACTTCAAACGTGAGAACAGTGATTGATTATCACTTCAACAGCATGACAAAGCAAACCCTATAGATTTGAATGAGGATGAATCCCTATAAAGACAGACTCTGAAGACTGAGAACTTTGAATCTGGTTCTGCAACCACCTTCCAGGAGCATCGGATGCGCATCTGACAAGACTCAGCTCCATCCTCGTGTCTTGGCCACCTGGCCAGTGGCTTAGCATGAGCAACTCTAAGGCTGGTAACTATGATAATAACAACCTTGCAGAACCTGTGTGTGCATGAATGAATGTGTGAATGAGTGTGAAATTGAATGGAATGTTATAACTATAACTGACTGCTTACTATGATTCTTTCTGTATTCACAATAAACGTGGCATTTTGCCTTATCCCCTTTAATAAGATCCTGCTGGTTTTTATTTTATTGGTATAACAGCAGCCTCCTCCTGCCCCTTCCACAGCACTCCGACCCTTTCATACACCCCCGAATAACCTCCCAGAACTTTCTACCACCCTGCCATAGCCCTCCCCTGAAGCCCTACAACAGCTCCCCACCACCCTGCTATAGACCCCCTAAATATCCCCCACCATAGTCTGCCAGTACCTTGCTCCCACCCAACCCCCAAATAACCACCCCCCAACCTTCGAGAGCCAAGCAGCACACACACTGTCTGTTCTATGCCCTTGCCCTGCTCTGGCAAGCAGGCCCTTGGAAGAAGATGCTGGAGCTTATGTGTAGGTGACAAAACCAAAACTGTAACTTTACCAAACTGTGGCCGCAACTTTTGAACCCAAAACGGCACAACCTTTTTACAGTCTTACTGATCAGTGTTTGTAAAGTGCTTTGAGATCCTCAGCTGGCTAGTGCTAAATTAGCGCAGAGGGCGTGCATAGGCCTAACGCCTCCACATCCACCAGGGGGAGGTTAGCGATGCTGACTGCCCCTCACACCAGACAGTAAGATGGGCAAAGTCATGTGATAGTTGATGTTTTTCTTAATGTCCCAGCTCTGGGAATCACGTGATTAGGTGAGAATCTCCACTGTCCTTCAAAAAAGGCAGAGCCAGTTTCTAGCTCACATAGTTGTGGAGAAAAGTTTGAAAATGTTAAATCCTGAAGGCAAAGAAAAAGCCAATATATATGCTTTTGAAAAAAAAAAAGTCATGAGATGTTGAGCCCGAACTCATGGTTTGTGAAAGGCCTCGGTCGGCAATTTAGGGATCATGGTTACAAAAAGTTGCTCACAGTTTGCACAGCTGAATGCAGTGCAGGGTTTTCTCCAGCTGGGTGGGACAGGCTCTGGGAGAGCATTTTCCTGATCATATGCACACACATATGGTACGATTTTCATGTGCCCATTAGAAGAAGTTTTATTGTGTGGCTGTGCTCTGTAGGGAGCTGGACTTTGTTGGCCTGAGACAGGATAGTGAAATTTATCCATGACATGGTCATTACAGGTCTGACATACTGTCCTGCTGTTACATGCTCCTGCACTTGATGCATTGGGTGAATCTGATGTAGGTGGATTGATTGACAGTGATGGGTAATTGTGAGAGTTACTGATAACTTTGCTCTGTGGTTTGGTAAGAGAGACACAGGAGCAGGTTTATATCACAGGCAGCAGGGTGATTCGATATAGCTGCAGCAATCGGTAACTGCCTTGCATGCTGCAGAGAGCAGGGAGGTTTTTGTATTGGTCTGTATCACTGTGAGAGGCACATCATTACCCTTCTGGCAGTAATAATCTCCAGCATCATCTGCTTCTACGCTACTGATTGTCAATGTGAAATCAGTGCCAGACCCACTGCCGCTGAACCGGGCTGGGACCCCAGACTGGAGGCTGCTAGCGTAGTAGATGAGAAGTTTGGGAGCTTGTCCAGGTTTCTGTTGGTACCAGTTTAAGTAACTGCCAATGTTTGCACTGGCTTTGCAGTTGATGGAGACTCTCCCTCCCACTGGCACTGCCAGAGATTCCGGGGACTGAGTCATCACAGTTTGCCCAGAGGAGTCTGGATGAAGAGAGAGGGTGGGGAGGGAATGAACAATGATACAATGCTGGAGATGACACATGTTCAGACACTGAAGCACAATTTGAATTTGCCACTGTGAATTTCTACTAAATACAACACAAAGAATATTAATTAAATGGATCAGAGTGGCAGCATTTCTTACATTTGTCACACTGAAAATTAATTTTTCAAATTCTTTGTTTTTAATTTCCTACCTTGAATCCAGAGAACCAGCAGCCAGAGAAGTGCTGTGTGAGAGATCATCTTGCCTGACAGTAGCTGGAAAGGTTTGTTCATAAACCATGCAGTGGAAAATTAAATATTTATATGTGCTTGGCAGCTCAGTGAGAAAAAAACTATATGCAAAATGCATGTAAATTTACTGCACTTCAGTTTCAACAAAGAGTTATGAAATGTCAGTATTTGGCTTATTTCCTGCTGCTGTTGTATGTTACAGTGATGTCACATATTTCCTGGACTGAGATGGTAACATACTCAGACCTCTCTGCAGATCTGGTTTCATGCCCTTGGAGCGCACCTCACCATTCTTAGGCAAAGCAGTGATCCAAAATGGTTGGCCTCCCCATCAGAGTATTCCTCACACTATCACAAAGGGGTGTCTATTAGCTTGGGAGCTCTAGCCATAGAGGAGTTAAAGAACCTTGGATCTCATTTTCAGAGGTGCTGAGCCCCTGCATCTCCCATAACAGTGAACAGAAGCTGTGGGTGCTCAGCACCTTGGACAATCAGGCTCTCTCTGTCCATTTTGGGTTTTTGTGAGCTGTGGGGAGACTCTTCATTACTAATGTGGAATGGCTGACTCTGAGACAGCATGTGGTCAGAGCTCACAATAATGTCTGCTGTGGCCACCTGACATGGGCTGTTCTTTGGCGCAAGGATGGGTTGGGGTATTGCAGTAAGAAACCGGATTGACAGCGTGTGCTGGGAGCCAGGTGTTACGCCTCTGCTGGGTGCTACTTTCCTCAACTACTATATCAAGGTATCTGTTAAGCAAACCTCCTAACCATAGTATGGTGAGTGGAACTGGAGAAGGAGGGTCAGGTTTGAGGAGGAGCCGTTGGTGAGCTCAGGGGCTCAGGAAAACAAGCAGAGGCAAGACTGCCAGACAGAGCTTCTGCTGGTAACATTGGCCTCTCAGCATGTTGAACAAAGGGCTCTTCCCTACAATTCTGCCTGCCTGCTGCATCGCTTACTGCTGATGAACACTAATAGCAGGGAATCTGCTTTGTGGTCAGGCATTTGCACTGTCCTGTCTTAAACTGCTTTGATGCGCAAAGACAGATCTGTTTTTCTGAGAATATTATTGGTTCGTTTGGTGTGTGTGTATGTGTCTGCATCTATGTTGTGTGGTTCCAAGTATAATGACATCTGTACAGTGCATTAGCTCATGCTCTCTGCTTTGAAACAGGCAACTCTCACTAATTGTTTAAAGGGAAGTGTGTGCAAATGACACAAGGGGAAAAATGTCTAGTCAGTTAGGGTTCAAAGTTTTCACTGATGATTGTGTGAGTTGTTTGTTGTCAGTTACATAGTTAGAAATAAGCATGAATCACATGGGTATTATTGGCCAGGGTGGGTGGGGCAGGTATCCCCAATGGCTGGCCATTATGGGACCACTACTGACCCAAGATTTTCACCATTGAATTTAATTAGTCAAAGGACAGCCCAAGGAGGTGTTAGTGCATTCCCCCGAGGAAAACAGTGCTGTATGGTGTGCTGCATATCTTTATTGTGATACGTGTCTCTCCTTTTAATTCTGCAGTTCTACATTTCAACATGCAATGAGTGTTGTGGAGCCAATTTTCTGACACAGATGTGATAGTACAAATCCCCCATGTTAATGCTCAATTTGGGATTTCAGCGCAGGAAAGAGGAACTGATGCTCCTGTGAGTAGATCTGAGCACTCGGATGTGCAGTGTGAGAGGCCCTATTGTTTGTTTGAAAACAGGATCTCCTAATTTAGTCCAGGACGTGTCTGGAACAACCTCTTCCTAGGCCTTGCACATTCTTTAAATGTTTATGTCCGAAGCCCTAATCCCAGCTTCAGCCCGTCTGAGGGGAAAGAGGAATCTGTGTTAGAGGAGCAACAGGGCAGCCCCTCTGTAGAGCACTTTACGCTCAGCCTGGCTCCACCTTCTCCTCCTATGTCAAATACAGCAGAGCTGTTGGAGTGGGAGACGGAGGGTGATGGGAGCCCTGTTCTGTTCTCTTCTATAGAGCTTCTTACACTGCACTTATTACTGTAGCACCTTCCAGTAGTGCATGAAGCCATGTCACAACACATCTGTCACAGATTATTTGTTCTCTCATCCTCTCCCCAGGGGAGAAATGTGCGGCGTGTCTTGATTGGGTGGTAGATCAGGGTTTTTTTCTTTTTAAAATACCGGTTGCTCTGTGGTTACATTAGAGAAGACAAGGTGAAAGCAATGTGCCTTGCACTTGGAGCAGAAGGTGGTGAGTTTGTGATGGTCCTTAGTTCATGTGTGTGGGGGGGTCATTCCACAGTCTTGGACCACCCTAGGAGATAGCTCTGTCTTCTACACAGATGAGCTTGAGAGTTCCCATGTGCTAAAGGAGTGGATTTGTTGGTCAGCTGGCTCAACAGGACAGGTGTGCGTCAGACACTGTACCACATTCCTGAGATCTGATTGGCTGAGGCAATTGCTTTTAAGCAAAACAGGGTAACATTGTAATTTTCCTAATAATTTCCAACATAATTTAGCTCTGCTACAGGCTGATTGTTAAACAAAATGGTTGGTTACATCATCATTTTGAAAGTTTTATATAAGAAATCTATATATAATCAAAAATTAATCAAACCTGCCATTTTAATGGGAGTATCATAGATCTGGGGGGAAGATCCATAAACAGCAGAAATGGGTTGTGTGATGTTACACCCCATATTCTTTATGGAAATATGCTTATGATATGGATATGGCATAACTGAGATATATTTTATGCAAGATGAGACTAGTAAAATATCATTGGAAAGGTTATAATCTACTGAATGTGATTATCCAATTTGTATGCATGTATCATTTCTGTACCCAAAGTTAGGAATATTGACTATGTATCAATTACAACTATGTGTGTGTATTTTGGAGACACCCACCAGACAACAGGCCATCAGCCTTGATGGGCCATTAGGAAGAAACAATAAGACTTTGAAGATACTAATCTCTCTCCTTCCTGAGAGGCATCCTGGGACATAGCTGTGACACTATTAGGTTAGGTGGTCCTGTCACCTGGTACTAAACCCCATCTTGGACTTCTAGTGATTTTCCACTAAAAGGAGGGGAAGGCCAAGACTGGGAAACAAAAGAATCCCTCTTTATGTAAATTCTATTTAAGGCTGGGGAGTAAGGCAAACAGGACTCCCCCTTCACTGCCATCCCACCCAAGAAGAAAGACAGCTAAAAGTACCTGAAGAGACAAAGAAACTAAGCTGAGGGAAAGGCAAGGGCTGAGTCCGGACTGAGACAGAGGAGTCTAGTCTGTAAAGAGAAATAACTGGAACTCTCAGCTATAGAAACTCTGCATTCTGCCTAAGTCAACATTTAGAGTGAGAAGTTATATTTTGTAACCTGTTTCTTTAGTGAATCAAGCTTAGTTTGCATGTTTTGTTTTATTTGCTTAGTAATCTGCTTTGTTCTGTTTGCAATCCCTTAAAATCACTTAACATTTACCTTTTATAGTTAATAAACTTGTTTTTAATTTATTCCAAAACCCAGTTTGTGCAATTCATATCTGGTGGGGGCCAGGGGAGGGAAGCTGTGCACATCTCTCTCCACGTTCAGGGAGAGGGCGAATTTTTATGAGCTTGCGCTGTGCAGATCTTTCTATACAGCACAAGACAATATTATTTTGGGTTTACTCCACGTGAGTGCTGGACAATTTCCTATCTGAATCTTCCCATAGAAAGCTGCTCGCAGAGGCTGTTTGATTCTACAGCTGGTGCATCCCTGCCTGTGTGTGTGCACTGCCAGAGGCCAGAGAGACTGATTCAGCAAAACATGGAGAGGCAGCCCAGGCTAGTGGAGCAGGCGGGCTCAGTGAAACCCCAGAACATTAGGTGGCATCCCGGACGGGGAGTCCAACCCATCACTGGTTGCAAAAAAAAAAAAAAAGAAAGAAAAGGATGAGAAGTTATTTTACTTCATGCGTGTCAGAGCTGAATTGAGAGAGCTAGATGTGCCTTCCACATAATGAGTGTAGAACAAGTGACCAGCACAAAAGACCCTGCACATCAGATGGAGGTTTTTGTATTGGTCTGTATCACTGTGAGAGGCCAGCTGTTATACTGCTGGCAGTAATAATCTCCATCATCATCAGCTTCAACTCTGCTGATCGTGAATGTGAAATCAGTGCCAGATCCACTGCCACTGAACCGGGTTGGAACCCCCGTATCACGGGAAGAGGCTTCATAGATAAGGAGTTTAGGAGCTTTTCCAGATTTCTGTTGGTACCAGGCTATGTCATCAGTAATACCCGAACTGGCTTTGCAACTGATACTAACACTTTCTCCTGCACTGACTGATAGGGACGCTGGCGACTGAGTCATCACAGTATCTCCACTGGAGTCTGAAAAGAAAAAGAAAATCTGTGTCTGTCACAATATTTTTAAAAGTAAGTTTCACTTGATTAAATTTACTCGGTATTAAACCTACTAGGAATTCTGTGTCACTCCAGATAAACCCCATCCATTTTCAAATATATTTTTATTCTTTCTTACCCTGAATCCATAAAAACATCGTCATGAAGAAAAGCAGGTTGTGGGAAATCATCTTGACTCTTCTGGGTGACTAGAAGCTGAGAGCCCTGCAGTGAAATCTAAAATGCAACCCGGTAGATTTATAATCCCTGGTCAGAGCAGTGAGGAAATGGCACTCGGGTGTGAAAATGCAAAGAGGATGAGCTATGTAAATTGTCTCTAGAGATGTTATTTTTCTTAGATCATCCCCTCCCAGGGGCTGTTATTAGATAAATAGTAGGAGATAAGATTCCTACTGGACTTTTCCATTTCATCACTTGAGTGTCCAGTTTGAATTGACACTAGTGGTGGGTCTGATTTAGGACAAATGCTGTGACTCTGTAGTATATCAACTGTAGTGTAATCCAGCTGGGAATATTGTTGGTCCATTTGGTGAGGGTGTGTGTGTATGTGTGCAGCTGTGTTGAGTGGTTCCAGATATCACAACATCCATACAGTGCCTGCAGCGATACAGGGGGTAGACTCTAGTTCTCTGCTTTGAAGCAGTCAACCCTTGTTTCAAGTGAAAGATGCACATGTAACACAAGGGGGGAAATATCTAGTCAATAAATGATCAAAGTTTTCACTGATAATTGGGTGAATTATTTTTTGTTAGTTACACAGTTAAAAACAAGTCGGACTGAGGCTGTAATTGACCAGGAATGGGTGGGACAGCTATCCCCAGTGGTCTTATTATTGACCAGCAGCTTTCACCAAGAGAAGAGATTTAAAAAAACTTTGGAGTAGGTCCATTCAGCTTGGACAGAGACACAAAGAATTTCCTTTTTCTCTCTCTGAATGTTGAATCCCTCACAGTATCAGTGCCACGGGCATTACTGCACAAGAGGGACCAAAGAACAACAATAATAGTGCTCTTAGGAAAAAGGAAATCAGACTGTCCCAACCTCCAAGTGCTTCAGGAACAGTTTCTTGTCTCACCAGAGACATTTAGTGTGGCACTAACTCAGCAAAGTCCAAAGCTGACTGCAAAGAATTACAAAGGGATCTCAGAAACCTGGGTGACTGGGCAACAAAATGGCAGATGACATTCAATGCTGATAAATGCAAAGTAATGCACAATGGAAAACATAATCCCAATTGTATATATAAAAGGATGGGGTCTAAATTAGCTGTTACTACTCAAGAAAGAGATCTAGGAGTCATTGTGGATGGTTCTTTGTGATAGTTCACTGTGAAGCAGCAGTCAAAAAAGCTAACAAAATGTTAGGAACCATTAGGAAAGGGATAGATAATAAGACAGAAAATATCATAATGACACTATATAAATCCATGGTAAGCCCATACCTTGAATACTGTGTCCAGGCCCCATGTCAAAAAAGATATATTAGAACTGGAAAAGGTACAGAGAAGGGCAACACAAATGATGAGGATTATGGAACAGTTTCCATATGAGAAGAGATTAAAAAGACTTGGACTGTTCATCTTAGAAAAGAGATGACTAAGGGGGGATAAGAGAGAGATCTATAAAATCATGACTGGTGTGAAGAAAATTAATAAGGAAGTGTTATTTACAACTTCACATAACACAAGAACCAGCAGTCAACCAAAGACACTAATAGGCAGAAGGTTTATAACAAACATAAGGAAGTACTTCTCCACACAACACACAGTTAGTCTGTAGAATGTATTGCCAGGGGATGTTGTGAAGGTCAAAAGTATAACTGGGTTCAAAAAAGAATCAGATAATTTCCTGGAGGATAGGTGCATCAATGACTATTAGTCAAGCTGGTCAGGGATGCATCCCCATGCTCTGGGTGTCCCTAAAGCTCTGACTGCTAGAAGCTGGGACTGGCCAACAGAGGATGGATCACTCTATAAATTGCCCTGTTCTGTTCATTCTCTCTGAAGCATCTGGCACTGGCTACTGTCAGAAGACTGGATACTGGGCTAGATGGACCATTGTTCTAACCCAGTGTGGCCATTCTTATGTTCTTAGCTGGATAATATTAAACGAACATCGTCCTGTTGTTTGACTGAAATGTCCATTCCTGAAGTGCTCTGTCTTTCTATCGCCATCTAGTGCTCAGTGACAGAATGGTCCACACAATTTAATCAAAGTAGTGTGCCCAAGCAGGTGTGAGCACATTTCCTTGGGGAGTGCAGTACTGTACAGTCTGCTGCATCTCTTTACTGTGATGCGTGTCTCCCATTTTATGTCTCTAGCTGTATATTTCAATAGGCAGTTGATGCTGCGGAAACAATTTTCCGCCACGGAGCTATCTTAGTCCAACCGCCACATGATGATGTTCAATTTGTGATGTAGGCTCATGGAAGGGGAATTTATGCTCCTGTGAGTTGATCTGAGCACTAAGATGTGCAAGTTGGGCGTCCTACCGAGGCCCCATTGTTTGAAAATGAGGTCTCCTAATTTGGGAAATGACGTGTCTGGAACAATTTGGCCCTAGGCCTTGTACACTGTGTGTGAAGCCCAAATCAGAGGTGCACCCAGGCAGGCCAAGCATTCTGATGTTACGTCAACTACAACAGAGCTGTCTGGGTGGGGTTGATGAGAGCCTTACAGCACTGGCTGTGATGGAATAAACCCAAGTATTCACACCTCACACACTATTGTAATAACATTTGTACAAAGTATTCCTTGTAAAGTATCATTTGAAAATTTGCTGGTCAGTATTGTCCTGGTAAAATACGTGGCAACTTTGTATTTGAAATTATAAGATTCCCCTGCATGATGTTATTAACACATGTTCCAAACCCCACAGCCCTGCCCTCCCCTCAGTTGTCTCATACCTTACACTTAGTGTGTAAGTTGTTCAGGGCAAGCACCATATCTTTGTTCTTTGTTTGTACAGCACTTAGTACAATGTGTCCCTGATCCATGTCTAAGTCCTTAGGGGCTACGATAATGCAACTAATAACGCATGGGTTATATGTGGAATATCTGAACCTGTGTGGATGGTCACAAAAGAAGGTGCAGAGACTGATGACGTGTATAAAAGTTTGAAGATATAAACAACATTTATAAAGATATAAAGCAACAATATAAAGCTGGGATGATTTAGTTGGGGATTGGTCCTGCTTTGAGCAGGAGGTTGGACTAGATGACCTCCTGAGGTCCCTTCCAACCCTGATATTCTATGATAAAAGGTTGGTTTGGCTGAATGTGTGTTGGCATCTGTAAAGAGGGACAAACTGGTACAATCAGATGGCCTGAAAGTTAAGGAAGGTACTGTCTAAGACTTGTCAGCATGGCCCCTACAAATATCTTGGAATGTGGGAACTGTCAGATTTACAACATAAGGAAATCAAAGAAGTGAGGAAAGAATATTACAGATGAATGAGAACTACTTTACAGACAAAACTCAACTTGAAGAATGTGATCCGAGTTAAGCACCTGGCAATGCATATAATAATGAATATCAGCCAAGACATGGACAGGATGCACATCCAATTATATGATGGAGAAAAAGGACTGGTATCTGTGGAGGAAGCAATTGATAATGAAGAATATAACCTCAAAATATATGAGGGGTCAGAGTGAAATTCATCTGGTTGCGATAACAAGCAATGACCAAGTCTGCACCCCAGCCCAAGAAAGGATAAAGCCAATCACCAAAGATAGACTTGAAAGATTTGTACAGAAATCAGTTCATGGCCAGCGGTGGAGAGAGGGAAAACCCATTTGTGACTGAACATTAACAAACTCATGGCTTGTGGAAGGACCTAAAAAGAGAGACAATTTCATTATGAATGTGCAAGAACAGTCTTACGGCCTAAAGAAGAAAATTGACTGACAGAACTGCTCCCTGAACTGCAGAATGTGCTCTTGGGAGGAAAAGACAGCAGAGCATGTCTTGGGCACCTGCGGGAACCTGGCTGGGAGAAGCTATATGAACAGGCATACTGAGGTTACCAAGTGTCTGCATTGGAGCCTCTGGGGCAAGTATGGATTTAAACCAACCATGGAGTACTATGACCACCGAATTGAAAGTGCTCTAGAGAATGAAAAGGTTAAGATTTTATGGGATCTGGCAATTGATATAGACTGAATGGTGCAGGCCAACAGGTTGGACATAGCTGTTGTAGAAAAAAAGACAAACAAGACCTTGCTAATTGATGTTGCCATACCAACAGATGGAAACATAAAAAAGAAACAAGAAAAGAAGGCAGCGAAATATAGAGAGCTCTGCTGTGAAGTAGAACAATAATGGAAAACTAGAACAAAGATTATCCCAGTGATTACTGGAGCACTTAGAGCAATCCCTAGCGGTATGAATGAGCAGTTCAAGAATAAAGTTTAGGAGTGTTAGACATCACAGTCGGTGGCCTCCAGGAGACAGCCCTCTTAGGCACTGTGAGAATTTTAAGGAAAGTGCGTTTGAGCACCTAAAATGAAGGAATTCTGTGGAGGGTTTAACAAAACTCCTGACAAGCCAAACCTACAGAGTCTGTTCGTGATCAGGGTGATCCTGGCCAATCAGGTGCCAACTCATGCCAAGGCCCCTAGGTGTCAAGTGAACACTGACAAGTGCATAGCTGAAACCAGTCTGGCTCACCTGTGTGTTAGGATTGTCAAAATAGGTATTTGAATTATTAGAATGTGTTTAGTGTTTAGACTTACACTGCATGCATTAATCTCACTTACGATAGCTGTATCCCATGTTATATGGTAATATTTAAGTGTTTGCTCTGTCACTGGAAATCACCAGACAGGACAGAAGCATTAACTAGTGTGAAATAATAGTTCCCAACTGCCCAACAAAGGAGGCCCATCAACACCAGATGAACTATGGTTGAACATCAGAAAACAGAAGAAGACTTTGTTGATTTGTTTGCTCTGCCCCCCTGAAGAGGAGGCATGGAAGTGAATTCCTCCCAACCACTGAACTAGCCACATGAAGCAGAATGGGGGAAAGAATAAAAAAACCCTAACAAGGATGAACGGTGTCTTTTATGCTGCTTGGACTCTGAGGGGCAAGGATTACTAAGCAAAAGCAAAGGGTCCTGAGTGCATGGCCTGGGCTACCCCTAAGGGACATATAGAGCTTGCTTATTATAGACGCTTCTGTTACTTTTTGAA